ACAAAATGAGAGTACAAAGGCAGTAGAAAGGCCAGCCTTATCAATGTAGTCTTAGTATTTCTAATAGGCAAGAGTGGGATGAAACGTAAGAGTTCGAGAGGAGCTTGTAGACTTTAGACTACCTACATTAATTTAGCACAGGCTATTTCATAGTCGAAATGTGATGTCGGCTAGTATGTATTTTATTTATTTGTCCATTTTTTATCTTTTACTACACTTTCTTGTTTATTCAATCTTGTTTTGTCTTCATTGTCTTTTTACCTTTTAGTCATTAAAGTCCAATCAATTTCAGTTTTTTTTTCGGAATTTCATTGACGAACCTAACCAAAAAATTATAGCAAAACCCCTGCCTGAAAAAATTGTATTTTTTACGATGGCATTTTATACAAAAATTAAAATTTTTAGTACATGTGCATAATAGTAAAACTCTTTACGAAGAAATAGAGCTCCAAAGAAACGAACGATTTTACAAAAATCGAAAATTATATTTCACAAAAGTAAAAAGCTTCAAGATTGGTTTAAAAAATTAAAAATTAATCTATAAACGAGATTTTAACGTTTTTTGCGTTTTTCTCCACAACACACAAATAGTAAGATAATTCAATTAGCAAAAAAACTGTTTTTTTTTTACTTTTGCGATTTTTTAGGTTAGGTTATTAGTGAAATGCCGGAAAAAAAACGCTATCTTTCTTGGAATTAATTCTTCTATACGCTCATATTTTTTTCTTTCTGCCTTTGATTGTCTGGAGCATTTCCGTAGTTTAAATTGGACTATTAATAATTGATATACTGGCACACATTGAAAGAATGTTGTGATATATTTAATGATGCCATTGTATCCATCTGGTCATTTTTTAAAAAGTGGCCGTGAGTTTGTTAGCCCTTTCTTCTCATACGGCTCAATCCCTTGGAAACGGGCGGTTGTAGATCGGCGCAGGCATATAACAGATTTTCGATATGTATATTGATTTTACTAATGTTTTTATGAAATAAAGATATTTTGAGTTTGAGTTTGATTAAACCTAAATAAACATACACATACGATTTTAAGTCGACATTTGATACACTGCAAAATGAAAAAAATACGTTACTTTATTGTCGTATTCTATAATACAAAACGATAATGTTTTCAAAATTTATAAAAATGTATAAAATGAAACCTTATTTCTAAAATATCTTATTTCTAACCTTCAAAAATATTTCTTTAAGAAAAGGGCATATTTAAATCTCTTAATCTTAATGTTCGAATTTATCTAAAAATAGACCTATTAAAATTTTCTGTGAAGTCAACTATTGAAACTGGCCGAAAGATTGTATCTGTAAGATTGCTCTTAGCAATAAGGCCGCCCTTTGTACATTATAAGAATTAATTATAATTATTATTCTATAATTTGTATGTATTTAAAATATATATACGTATGTTTATCAGCAGTCTGGTTATCATAATACAGCCTCTGCCTAGTTTGGGATCAGACGGCCGTGTGTGAGATGGAGATATATTATTATTATTACTATATATCTGAGACACTTTGATGTACTTACCATACTTCTTGTAAAACGGTCTACAAATAAAGAGTTCTATCTATCTATTTAACGTTATAAATACCCAAACGAGATTTTTCTATACGTTTTTCAAATAAATTATTTTTTCGTAAATTCAACTGCTGCAGATATTTTTCTGCTATAAAGAAATCTATGTATTTTGGTTCGTATTTCATACACTATTGTACGAGTATTTTTGTGGAAACGGTAATCCGTTTTTATAAAAATTCTGCAAGAATGGAAAAAATACTTTTCTACGGGTGAAGGTGCGGGCAAAAATTAGTCAGTCAATAAGAAAAAAGTGGTCATTGTAATCTGACAATGGACAAGGGAAGTCTTTATGGAACACAACATCGACACAATGACATGTTTAAACCATTCACGCTAGTTACCGTTCTAAGTTATCACCTAATTTATTAAACTCCGTGTGGTGACGTGTGGTTAGAATACGGAGTGCCACCACGTCACCTCTAGTGATCCCGTGGGTTTCGTATGAGCCGACTAAGAGAGCCAACTACGAGGACAACAGCACTGCAAAGAGGAGTACTTGACACAAACCCTAAACCACCCCGTCTTGGCCAGCGTGACATAATAGGCCAAAACCTTCCTTCTAAGGAGAGGACTCCAGCAGTGGACTGATAAAGACTGTCAATGATGATAATGACGATGGTGTATACGCATTTATGATGAGGCAATAAATAAATAATTATTATTGAAAGTAATTACGACGGCTGGTAACATAGATAAAGATTTTTAGATTTCCTCGACAGAATCATAAACTAAAAATTGAAATATACCCTCTTATGTTTGTCTGTTAGCGCGTACTCAAACTCAGTGAACACGGGTAGTAACTTTTACTTACGCAGTGCAGTAGTAACTTTAAGTAACGTTCTGTATCTTTTCATTTGAAATGGCTACAAAGTAATTAGTAATTACAAATACAAAGTAAACATATACCTATGCAGTCAGTACTGGCAATACACATACTTAGTTATACACACTAATACACATAATAACACACAATAACACTAACAAACATACATAAATAATTATATAATATGTAGATGAATTCAAAGGACAGATAATTATTCTTTGACCGTGTCCTTAAAGACAGGCAAAGTTTTGGCATGTCTAACTAAATTGACAGAGCATATTATAGTGGGATGATAGTGAACAATGTATTGTAAAACTTCGATAACACCAAGAATATGATATTAAATACCTACTTAGAACGGAAATAGTAGTAACTATTATCTACCTGAAGTTGACGAAATCCCAAATAAATTCACATCAATATTGATGTGTTGCAAAATAACTACTAAGATAATTATACATAATAATACGCGCTATCGAGCTTCATCGATGTGATAGCTTATCTTTACTCATAAGTATTTTCATTGTTCATTGTTAATACGTGTAGCGATTACTCTGTACACTTTTGCCATAAATTTGAATATGAAAACGGCTTAAGAAGCTATAAACATCCAGTATATAAAAATTGTGCCGTGGTAAAAAGGTCATCAGTTCATAAATGTCAATGAAACTTAATAGTTATTGCTAGTTAAAAATACTTTGTTGTAAAAAAAGCGCTAGCTTAGAAAACTTTACTATCATACATAATTAAGCGTAGTGTGCCTTACATATTAATATTCAATTTTCAAACACTTCTGCCAGGATTCCGGCGACTGGGGTCGCAATCAACTATTAGTTAAAAATAGTAGTCAAACGTAAAAAATAAAATAAATTTAAAACTATGACGGTCATTTGTAACTAATTTTGATTGTTGATTGTCATTGTTTTACAGTAAATGGATTATTTTAACACGATTGATGTGTATTATAAATATTTTGTGATTAACGTCTAGTGTATTTTTTTTTATATATTTTATGATCGTTAAGACTGAAAATCGATCGATGTGGCGTGCAATGGGAGAGGCCTATGCCCAGCAGTGGACTGCGATAGGCTGATGATGTTAAGGCTGATTTTGTGATAGATGACTACTTACTAGTTGTTTATTCTTTGTAAATTATTGATAATTGTTGGCATGATTTATGTGTTTGTTTTTTTTATGTAATTTTCAAATAACAAGAAAGTTTATCCAAGGCGGTTTTTTTTTTTTAACAGATTTTATAAGTAAATTATATTTTTTTTATAAGTAAATTAGTAATTGTTATTAAGAGTTGTTTTCTTAAATGATTACTCTGAAAATTTTTACGTTTGACTGTACTATTTTTGGCTTGAACAACAGATTTTGTATTCATTTATGGCGGTGGTCCCAGTCGCCGAAAGAAAAATATTCAAATTAAATGATCTGGCAACTGGGGCCCCGGTTAAATGCGGTTCCTAGTTAAATGCGGTCCTAGTCGCCGGAATCCTCGGTCTGCTTAGACTCCAAGTGCTATTTTTGAGTGCCACCTAGCACGGCCACATTCTAAGCAAGGTACCTACGTAAAAGTACCTTACCGTAAGGTACTTATTTATTCCTTTATTCCTTTATTCGGGTAAAATTTAGAGAACACGAACTAATACTATTGTTGTTGTATTATTTTTCGATTTTAAGCGAAATTTTAGATTTTAACATTTCATAATAGGGTTACTAGTAAGTACTAAAGATTGTGAGGTTCCAACACATATCATGATGATTATATGTTTTATGAAAATTATTCAAAGTGAATGACGAAATGAAAACCGATGATTAAAAGTTACTACTAAAAATGTATTTTACTCAACAAACTTTCACACAGTCACGTAGCGACCTCTAGTTCAAAACATTTTAGTTATGCACAACAGTGGCATCTATCGAACACAATGTCAATCATCATAAGAGCTTAAGAGCTGCCGTACCAAACCGCAACGTTTGTAAACAAAAAGCTAACCCTTGTTTGAACCCAACGTAGGATTGATTAAAAAAAGAGGTTCTTTTGAAATTTACGGTTCAAAAATAAATTACATACTAAACAACAGACCATACACTGCATATCACACAAATATCCTTATAACACGTGTTTCCCGCTCACGCAAACGCACTAGCTTCGTGGCCGGGTAGCCTTATTGGGTCACCGCCTGCCGATTATGTAATGAGCCGAGTACTTTATAGGAATAATAGTTACCTAACCACTCGACGCTACACTTAGTTACATAAGCGACCTCGCCCATTATAGTTTATGTAACTATAAACCTTAACAACTGTGAATGAGGGGATATAAAAAAACAAAAATTACTTCACATTTATATTTTAATGTTTGTAATAATTTATGAAAAAATTTAGGTATAGTCAAATTTTGGTATAAGAGTTGGTATCGAAGTTCTAGGTACTGCTTAGAAGTAAGACTACAAATACATTAAAATAGAGTAAAAATACAAGAGATGACTTAACACTACTGGTCGGCTTACTAATACTCATATTCAATGTTTATTAATAGGATTGGAATCAAATAAATCACATCAAATTTGAGAAGTTAATCATTATTTTCTTCAGCTTGTGTGGTCACATTACTCTTGAACTTCTTAGCTTGGGTTCCCTCAGAATCATTGGTGGGGTCCTCTTTACATATTTCATGAAGATTATATTTTTTATATGTAAAGTAATTGTCAACAATGCTAAGCAAGCACATTCCCTTGATGATTTCAACTATAATACAAAGACCAGGATTCTTCAAATCAGCTTTGTTACCACCATTTTTCAAAACTATGAGATCTGCAAGCTCTTTAATAATCAACTCCCGAGAAACACAGTTGTTGAACCGTTTATTAAAAATAACTGCAAAGGTTGATGGCTCTTTCAAGAAAAATTTATCAAAGAGCTTGCCAGCAGCCTCCATGATGTCGGGGAGATTGGCTCTACATGTAGCCATGATCGGAAGTAAACGCAACACATGTCGCGTTTTCTGTAGCCTCGTCGTAAATAAATCTTTTATAATAGCTGCTGTCAATTCTTCTGGACTAGGTAGATTTGTTTTGACAAAAATGCAGTTTGAAGCTCCAGTCTCCACAACTTGAAACCTTTTATCTCGTAGAGATTTTTGGGACTCCTTTTTTATGGACTCAACCTCTCGTCTTAGTATATCTCCAATATCAGTCTCATCCTCGGACTCGCTCTCAGACCTGTCATCTTCCTGCGCAGCTGATTGAGGTACAGCAGATGTTTGTTCAATTCCTAGATCTGGATATAGTTTCCCGGCATATTCATTTAACAGATTGTACATTTCTTTGACACAGTCTTTTTCCCTGAAGTTACACGTGCAGAAAAAGCCCCGAAAGCCGGGTTCCAAGAAATATTTGTTCCTACGTTTGCGAAAGTAGAACTTTTTCTTCTTTCTAGTGTCACCCATACCGTAAACTGATAAGCTGAACCAGAGAGTTACAATATGGTTATGATGGCGGCCTGTGATGATATAACGAAATATTATATGTTACGTATTGAGTCGAATTATATGATTATGAATTCAATAGGTAACAACAGCATCAACATTCTTAACATACGTCAACTAAATGTCAATTAAGTTAGCGATGGGTAACTCGACTTACTGACTCGAGTTTTGCTTGTCTCAATTTAACTCGATTTGAAATCTTCACAAGTTTTTATTTAATCAGAAAATACTTGATGAAAATCAATCTAACCAAGTGGGCTATCAATATTATAACAGTTTTTATTGCCTAATCATAAAAGATAAAACTCTTGTTGATTAGGTAAACAATATTTAAACTTGAATTATCTAGTAGTTCTTTCTGCAAGATTGTAGCCTTACAATGGTCGCATATGATGTGTAAAATTTGTGAACTGACCTTAGTAATTAGCAATATTAACATTATTGCCTGAAAAAAGTCTTAAGATATTTTTTGTATTGGTTTTTCGTAACGAGGTATACTTTTTCATTTATGTATACAAGAGAACAAATGATTATCTTTTAGGAACAACAAAAATCTGTACAACTGAGATGTATTAACTTTTATTATTTTTTATCGGAATAATTGGTTTGATAATACGGAGTGTTCCGACCCCTATTTATCACGTGGGTTTCGTTAGAGCCAACTGATGGAGCAACGGGTGGGAGGGGTGAATTGCTCCTCGAGTTAAATCGACTCGTCCTCTTTCTCGATTTGTCACATCAAAATAAGTCAAAATAAGCCGGTGTTGCCAGTTTAGTAGGAATTTGCTATACTGAAATTCTTCTCAATCTGACTCAATATCTCACAGAGTACAGTAATAATTTAAAGCAGGCAATAAATATTAATGTTTTAGTGACTTTTTATTACAGATTTCTTTTATCTTGCCTTTTTTAACAATTTGCGGTTCCAGTAAATTTAAAATTAAAATACTGAACTAGAATGGCAACGATAACTCTTTATGCGAAGCAAGGGAACTATCCATAGTTCTCTACTTCATGTCCAAACTGTCCAGAGGTTCTGAGTAACGTGTATTATACTAATTTATAGGTATACCTGTAAATAATTTAAAGTGAAATGCTAATCAGTCTGCAAAATAATAATAATAATAATTTCACACATCTCACACAATTTTTTTTTTAAATATAGTTACTTTTTGGATTGTTATGTGTAATTAGTTTAAAATATATAAGTTTCTTATCCTTATCTTATTATCCATATAATATCATCATTCTTTACACCTATCTTAATATTTTTACTCCTATTTCTTGTCTATCCCATTATGATAACAGCAGGGTTGATTTTAATGGAGGTCTGTCTGCTTCCACCAGCCCCGCGTGTAATCGTGTCTGTGCCTTGCCGATTTTAGTTAGGGCTGTGCAGAGGTTTTCAACATCAGATCCCCCCTGACTGGGTAATGCGATTGCGAGATTATTTACGGAGGTTCTTTTTCGACCTCAGTTTGGGCCTACACTGAAACTGAAACAGTAAGTTTCAGTTTAGATGTTAAAATTGTTATATCTAGAAGGAACTTACAGTTTATATTTATGTTAGAGAATAATTATTTTTGTAGTTTTGTACGCGCCATATAAGTCTGCAAAACTCAACTTTAGGTATCAGAAGGGTAAGTCCTGCGCATCAGACGGGAAGGGGGAATGTGGCCGCCGCCGCCGATGCAAGGTCAGTCGTGTATCTTGCTTTAACACATTAACTAATTTCACTTTGATTTGCTTGCTTTGCTCTTACGTAATGTTATAAACATAATATAAATTAGTTAGTTCCTATCTACCTTTTGGATCTGCTACTATTATTGACATGACAAATTATTTTCTACCTTAATAGACTAAGTATTAAACATAATTCTAGAATTTATTGAGAACTAGCTTTTCCGCCAGCGTGTATGTCAGTTATTGCGGTAATAAGTGACCTATGTTACTCGCTGATAATGTAGCTTCCCATTGGTGAAAGAATTTTTTAAATCATTTTAGCGGTTTTGGCGTGAAACCAAACAAACTCACTGTTACATTTATAATATACGTATTCATGTGCTTATGTACAACAACTTGGTAACAAGGAGTTGTCACCAAGCGTCATATGTAATTACGTACTTGTTTGCCACTTTAGTTTTAAAACACTCACGTTAACCTTTCGGAAATAGATATACATATACATTATACAATTCTGAAAAAATGAATTTTATTGCTACCTACTTGTTTGCTGGCTCGGTTTGCCACATCTAAATTGTAAGGAGGTGGCGTAAATGAAAAGTGGGACTCCCTCGTTTAATCGAAACTATAAACCTGTTCAGAAAGAAACAGGTGAAAAGAGGCCATGCCATGAGTATTTCGACTTTGGTGGTAACACATCGAAAGTGGAAAGTGTTAGGACTCGAAGATAATCACTTAGATCTAACAGATGCAGGCCGAGGAATGAAATGTCACTGTCACATTTAATCCAGATATCTTAAATATACAGATATTTAAAATATCTGGATTAAATTCACTGCAACAGTTGTGAGCGAAGTTTCGTATCTAATCATCCTCATCATCAACAACCTTTATTAGTCCACTGCTGGACATAAGCCTCTGCTTAGAAAGGAGGTTTTGGCCTACTCTACCACGCTGGCCAGTCGGGTTGGTGTAGGGTTTGTTTCAAGTGTACGACTGGGCCCTTCGAACTGATTTTCCCCCCGGGCTGGGTGTAATTTGTTACGCCGATGATACATTGGTCACAGCCCGGGGAGTGAACTTCCAAAAGGCGGCACGCCTGGCCACCAGGTGAGTCTCTCTGGTGGTCGAGCGCATTGAGGCACTGGGCTTACGGGTGGCCCTGGACAAATCAGAGGCCCTCTTATTTCACAGCTTGCTCCAAAGCTGGTCGGCGCTGCGTCTGCCCCTGGGCGACTTTTGCCTAATCTGGGTGGACCCAGCGTCGCAAAGAGACGGCTGTACACGGGGTTGTCCGGTCAATGGCACTGTACGGCGCACCGGTGTGAGCAGCGGCTCTGACCAGCCAAAATAGAGCACGCCATTGGCTGTTAGAGCCATACGTGGTTACCGCACCGTGTCGACGCAGGCAGCGTGCGCGTTGGCCGGAACTCCCCCGTGGGATTTGGAGGCGGAAGTGCTCGCCGAAGTATATCGGCGGACGACTGAGTTCCGGGCGGTTAGCGGCAAGTCGGCCCCCGCCCGAAGACGTACGCGAGTGGCGCGAAGCCGCTCGTCGAGCCACGATGGCTCGTTGTTCGTCACGGCTGAAGGCTCCACGTGCTGGTATTGCCGCCGTGGAGGCGCTCCAGCCGGTCATCGTTGAATGGGAGGGCCGCAGCACGGGACCCTTTCCTTCCGACTGACGCAGATCCTTTCCGGGAAGTACCTGCACTCGGTCGTTAAGAGGGAACTGAGTCCTGCCTGTCACCACTGCTATTGCGGTGAGGACTCGGCTCAGCACACGCTGGCAATTTTCCCGGCTTGGGCGTCGCAGCGTCGGGTCCTCACTGCAGTCATCGGCAGAGATCTCTCACTACCGGCCGTCATACGCTCCATGGCCGGTAGTGATAGTTGTTTTACCGCGGTCGCATCCTTCTGCGAAGACGTTATCTTGCAGAAGGAGGCGGTGGAGAGAGCCCGGGAGGTTAGTCTCCACTCAACGAACCGGGCGGCGGAGGCGCGCTTACCAGCGCCTCATGCCGCCCTGAGTGTGGCCGCGGGTGGACGGGATAGGTTTTCGACGTGGAGGCGATGTCCGCGTGCACCGGACGTCTCCTAAATAGAGATTATACCCCAATGTGGTGCCCCCGCCGTTGCCGGCAGGCGCTAGGAGGGGTCCGGATGTCTTAATAAAAGCTGTTCCCGGATCCCCTATTACAGGCGCAGAGTGGCACACCGTGTGGTTTTAGTTGGTCCGATTCCGACACACCAAACAAAAAACAAAAAAAAGTTCGTTTCAAGTGTTCATTCTCTTTGCAGTGCTGTTGTTCAGCTTGGATTGCTCCCTTAGTCGACTTTTACGACACCCACGGGGTGGTGACACTCCGTATATTTAATTTGTTACCACAAGTCGCGTAACAAGTCTGTGTCGTATATATACCATATTATTTACTACCAATTATCCAAACCTTGAGCAGTTATATATAAAATGCAACCTTTCAATTACCATATTTATTGTAATTTTATCTAACATAAAATATATTCCAATTTAATTCTAGTATAAAACTTAATTACAAATTTTAAGTTCTTAAGCCTAATTCTAAATATAAAATACTATTAGAATACTTTTAGTAGACATAATGCAGGCACTGTCTTAAGTGTATTGTCCCTATTAATTAAAAGAATAGTAGCAAACCAACTTATTTTCTAAATTTGCAATATTTCGTCTTCATTATTGCAGGCAGGTTAGCTACGATTGGCTTGTTTTGTTTTGGGCAAACAGTAATGCTGAAAGAAAAAAAAAATTCTTATTACATCAAATACAATACAAAGCAGCCATGAAACTGCCTAATATCAAGCGTATCACTAATCCAATGATAAGTCTTGCCTAGGTTTGTTGGGTGCTCTAATTCGAGCAGATTTCTGTTTTTCACCGCTTCAATAATACACCTATGTCTATACTTACTCTGTGTTGTATTCAATGGAAGATAATTTAATATAGTCTACATAAATGCTAGAACTCTTCAATAGGCGCCACGTCATTGGGTTAAATAGATTGGTCTCATACTTCCACTCCACGACCAGTAATATTGGGGGATGACCCGTGTCTTTAACAGCAATCATTTTCGTTTCTAAGTCACCGGGTTTGTAGAACTTTCTATAAACAAAGAAGAAAAAAACTTGAAACCTGTTTTTTGTGAGGCAATACATTTTATTATAAATATATATATTTTAATTATACCACTTCCATACTGTTTTTTCTGTTCGTCTCTCTGGTTTTTATTAAAAGCCTTGTGCATATCATATGCAAATATATCAGTCATTTTACAACTACACAATATCACTTACAACCATAAACAATAAATTAAATTAAAAAAAACAATAGGTAACTACACTGAAGTATTTAGGCATCACTAACTTTATCGTAAAATATTAACGTAGGCTGGTAATCTCGTGTCGAGCCTTGAACTTGACCTGTCGAAACTAACTCATTCTGGAAATTCTACTATCCCAAGTTTAAAGTTCATGTCAAATAGGAGATATGACACACCGCTTTCAAATCAACACACAAACACACGAAATTCAAATGGCCACACATAAAATAAGTAAGGTATATTTTTTCTTCAACTTCGATATAAAAAGGTATCTTAGCATGTACGCACTAAAAAAATCATGTTGCAATGCATGATGAACAATAGAAATAATTATAACTCCCATTCTTCGGAGGAACCTATACTAATTTTTACCAATATTCTCCTACGACGTAGGTTCTGGGTAATTTGTGGCAATTGTAATTTATTTTATTGTTGTAATTGTATGATCAATGTAATATTTGCATGCCTTACGGAACATTTTGTACTGTATGTATCATTGACGGGACTGTTGGTCTAGTGGTTAGTGATCCTGACTGCTAAACCGGAGGTCGTGGGTTCGATTCCCAACCAGGACAAAGATTGTGTGATGAACACGGTCATTTGTTCTATGTCTGGGTGTAATTTATCTATAATATGTATGTATTTCAAAATATATAAGTATGTTTATCAGCTGTCTGTTTACCATAGTACAGGCTCTGCCTAGTTTGGGATCAGACGGCCGTGTGTGAGATGTGTATATTAACCTAAGAACTTTAATCGCCGTTCCTGCGAATAAATGACTATTCCTCGAATAAACCTTGGTTCAGCGTGACCCAGAATTCCTGCGGAACACGGATACAGTACGATTGGCATCTACATTTACAAGGAAGAAAGACTATAATAAAAAATTCAGAGGAGTTTCTCTTCATTTCTTTGTAGGCGACAGAGTCGATTTGGCAGTGACTGGTAACGGAATCGTCTCAAGACTGCCACGCAGAGTGCTGGACTGCAGATGTGTGCAAACGATTAATCTACTTGGTTAATGTATAACTTTAGAAAGACAACTGAAAAAGTTAAATACATTCAAGTCAGTACCTAGATCAACATTAAACTTGACTGGGTAACTGGACGAATCTACAAAGCTGCCACAAGGAGAGTCGGATTAGGGCTAGTCTTGGAGGTGAAAGCGCTTGTCAATAGAATTAATTCCGACGGCCACGTTTTAGGCGCATCACGTAGTAATATGTGTCGACACTATCTTATCGAGGGCCTTTTTATTATTCTCTATCTAATAAAAAAACTTGTAACAAAAAAAACTTACTGCGTGTCAGTCAGAGACATGTGCTCGCTCTTATTGTAGTTTTTGTCAACTAAAGTTATCATTAACTTCCCAGATTCAGGACCGTGAGTTCTACTTTCTGTCGAGTTTGCCACTTTCACGACTACTTCGTAATGCACTCCTAAAAATAAAAATATTACATTACACAACAGAATATTACAAAAAAAAGCATTAAAGAAAAGTTCTAAGAAACAATATTTGATTAGGGGAGTTTAAATGATGATATGATTATGTTTTAATGTTCGATATCGGCTAGTACTTGGGATCTAGAGGTCTGAATGCAGTCGCTTCACGTAAAAAAAACCCGAAGTTCAGCCGTATCGTAGGAGACTCAAAGCCGACCATAACCCAGTTTAGGTGTTGTTATTTGGTTTGCAATTGAGAAATGAGTCGCTGCTATTAAGAAACATATTAAACTTTGAAACATATTGAAGAAACATATGAAAACATTAAAGTTATGTAAAATAACTTTACGCTTGCGTTGCATAATATTTCAGGTACCCGTTTATTGCAATACTTGACCATATATATGTATCTAACTTTACATTTTCATGCTTCCAGCTTATATCTGAAGTATAAAATAAGTTATAAAGAACACAAAATTATAAATTTTAATACTTACTACAATAGGGTTTAGTATTCCCAGTTATAGCATACAGAGCAATATTCGAGTTGGTGTCCACTAGGCCGCCGACCTGCAAACGTCTGTATATGCTGTAGGAGTAATAGCCCATCGGTATGCAATAATGATGATTATTACAGCTTGTGCAGTTGCCAGCTAAGAAAGCCTAAAACAAAAAAACATGGTTTCTTTCAGTTATGTCATTATTACTACCACCTAGTTATGAGGTTTATATTGATTCCACGTTTTACACATAGCAATAAGTAAATGGGAATCAAAATTTAAACAAAAAAAAAAACAAATGTCAATGTAAATATGGTTAGTAACTCCTAAATGTTATATAAATATTCAAAAAGCATCGCATCTTTTTATTCTAACAACAACTAAGATATAATTAAACATTTACCTTGACAAGTACATGCTATTTGCACGCGGCTTCAGTCGTGTGATTATTTATTATTTCGCGTTTCTAACTTTAAAAATGACGAATTTTACTACAACCGTTCAACCCCTATTTTACCCCCTTAGTATCTTTTCTTAGTAAGTATGTACAACATAAAATTCCAAGTTTGTAACCCTAGCCGTTTAGGCTCTGCATGAATCAGTCAGTCAGGGCAAGTTATTTTATATGTAAAGATTATAGTTAACTCTTGAAGTGGACCACACAAAAAATTTATGTTGAAGTTGACGCTTTTTAACCCTACAGCACCATTTAAATATATTTTCCCATCGGACTGTTATAAAAAAAAGATAAAATCCTAATATATCTCGCCAGTGAAACTTCTGTAATAAATTCTGCGTAGTTTTTAATTTACGCCGTTATAATGAATACCTACTCGATACCAGATATTTTGCACCGAATGTGCTGCATGCGTCATACATAAATATTAACAATCAATTTCACAAACATGTTTGAAAGTTAACCTACGTAATCATATAATTAAACTAGCTGTCCCGGCAAACGTTGTATTGCAAAACTTTTGTTTTGCAATACAACGTTTGCCAAAATTAGGGATGGGTCACCCTTACCATTTAGGGGATTAGCCGATTCTCAGACCTACCCGATGTGCACACAAAATTTCATGAGAATCGGTCAAGCCGTTTCGGAGGAGTACGGGAACGAACATTGTGACACGAGAATTTTAAATATAAGATTAACACAATTCAAATCTATGATTGCGTTACATATTTTGTTGCAATAAATTTTATTAACCTGTTACTATTGACCAACTAAATCAGTAAAAAGTACTTTCGACCGCTGCGGATTGCGCGTTAAAACTATAACACAGTAAACTATGCATTTAATAGCTTGTAGATAGATAGGTGAAAACTCTTTATTTGTACAACGCTTTACAAGAAGTATGGTACATAAAAATGTCAGACATGTAATGTACAAAAGTTGGCCGTATTGCTAAGAGCAATATCATCCACGCAACCTTAGCATGTGTTTCAGGTATTGTGTGTAATTTTGCACCTACGTTTTTATTTCTGCATCACCTAAGTTTTAATGACAAGGAATGCCTTAGGAATTAAGTCTGCCTTTGTACAATACGTGCATGAGTTTTTAAAATATAATAAATCATATATATATTACTTACATCATAAGATTCGCACTGTACAGCCATAAATGGACAGGACGGCGCAATACTTTCAATAAAATACTCGTAGCTCCTCTCGTGGTTGCATCCAAGCAGCTTCACAAATTGTTGGTAGGACAGATCGTTCGACAGGCCACTAGGCGAGTTATACTGTTTGCATCCCGGCTGCACGGACCCACCGTTAGGATAAAAATCCACGTGACCAATCGGCTCTGTTATGCCAAATCCTGAAAATAAAATTAAATCGGATAATGAAGTGTTAAAATTTCACTTGAAGTTATAACAATAGTTTGGGTACAGACTGCTGTGTGTGTGATGTGTCAAATCCAAATCTCATAAAATACTAACATATTAATGAATGTCATTACTTTTATGTTTTTTTTTTATTACGAGACAGGAATTAAAAAAGAAGACATGTAATCATTAACAATTATTTTTCTTATTTAATCGTCAAAATTTTTATAATCATTTACCTGAGAAATATAGCGGTACAGCATTGCTGTGGATTATATCCACATATTTGGCATCAGACCTGTCCAAACGAACTAATGAGACAGTCTTACTGAAGTATGGAGCTGCAGGATCCAATCCTGTAATTCTTCCCAATTTTAGATAAAATTTCTGAAAACCAAACAAAAAATGCTGTAACTTTTACTTCTTTAGAAAATGCTTGATGGTCTGGTCGTCCGTGTAGTGACGGATTAAGAATACGGAATGTCTCTACCGCAATTCATCCCGTGGGTGTCGTAAAAGCCGACTATGGGCGCAAAACAACGCAGGACACCAGCACTGCAAAAAGAAGGAAAACTTGACACAAACCCTATACCAACCCGTCTGGCCAGCGTGGTATAGTAGGCCAAAACCTCCTTTCTAAGGAGAGGCCTATGTCCAGCAGTGGACTATTAAAGGCTGTTGATGTGATGATGTGATGTGATGTGGTCTGGTCGCGTAAATATGATACCGTCTCACTTTATTAAATGTTTATGAAGGTTTCTAGACCATTTGATAGACGAAGTAAATTGTAAACAGGAAACTCAGCCGAATGAGTGTGTAAGTACTTTAGGGGCCTACTCTCATCATATAAATGGTTTCAAGTATTTGTAGATTCTGCATTTGGCGAAGTTTTCCAACAGAATATTATGAGATTTTGAAGAATGCAACGCGTCTAAGAATGTATTAGTCACAACGAACATAACATTTGCGGCCATCCGGCCTAAACTATTGCATAGTTAAGTGCATATTATGTAGGATCACAATTAGAGTTACCTTTTGCAGAGCATGTCCGCAGTATCCTCCTAAATGTGCCCCCAAAGAATGTCCTATATAGTGAAAGTTGTCTAAATTTGGTAGTCCCAATACTTCCTGTAACAAACAAACGTTAACATTTAATATTTATTATTACGGTAAAGATATATAAAGAAATTCTTTGGCGTTCTTTTATATATTAAATTACTACTAACTGAATTACTAACTAAATAAATAAAATTATTAACAAATAACTAAATGAAATAAGTAAAAAAAATAAAAGGATAGTTGTGGTGGTAATTAAAATCAAGTCTAAAAACGAGTCTTGCGGGCTTCATTTTAATTAATTACTTTGTAAATCTACCCATATTTAATAACCTGTAATAAGCACCCCATATACATTACACATAGTATTTAATAATTTAATGACTTTTTAAAAAATATACATTTGCGGTATATTATGTTAACTCACATAAATATTATGTATAAGATGCGCAGTCATAACGCCTACGAGCCTAATATTGGCCACGGCTTGTCCGTACGGAGGTTGGGATCCACCTCGCCAGTCCACTACTATCACAGATGCTGCCGAATTTCCTTGTAAATTTAGAAGAGCATCCGCCATGTTCTGGATCTGTAAGAAATCCAGTTTAGTTGAAAATTAGTAGTTATAACTACACGATATATTTTTTTAAATATATTGTCGATTATCTATGATGACTAGCTGTGACGAAAAATTAATGTGGTTATCGACTAGTAAATGCACAGCAAGGAGGATAAGTTGGTGGTCTCCAATAGTAAATTATAGTGAAAGCTTTGAAGAGCTCTGGCTGATAACACGCAAAAGTCCCCTAGGAATACAACTAAGATTATATAAAGACCCTGTGTATGAGATATTTAATACTATTCTAAAATACCGATCTAAAAGGGGAAAAATAAATCATCACATCAATAGCCTTTTATAGTCTACTGCTGGGCATGGGCCTCCTTAGAAAGGAGGTTTTGATCTACTATTTAAGGTAAATAAATCATACCAACCTAAAAACAAATACAATTTACAATATCAATTCAAACAAAAATAATATCTGCTTGGTAAAGATGTATGTATCTGTGCCAGAGGTTGAATCTGTATTTTATCAGGATATTGGGCAATCTATATATAGAAATAAAAATAATATGCTACTAGTTGCCATGTACATCGATTAAGAAGTTCTTGACCGATTGCCCTATTTCATATATTTGTGTACATACACTCACACCTATTTGCCTGCGGGGGTAAGTAGAGATGTTTCAAACGGCCCCGTCTTTGGGAATATAATTTTATCCTAACTTACGTAGTAGGGGCAAGCCGATTGCCGTCTTCCGGGTAATTTAGGAATTACAAAATTGGTGGTTCAATTTGAAAGAAAGAGTTGTTAAGATGGCAAGGCAATAGAAGAAGAAAATGATTGGGGAGTGTTATCATAGGTCGTGTAGGTCAGATTCGCATAACTGTAATTCGAACTGTTGTTGGGAATTCCGACGTCTCTATTTTATTTTTGTTATTTCGCCAAATTTTTCTTGATAAAATAAACAAAGAAATGTTTGTAAAATCCCTAAAGAAATTAAATAACATGGGGAAAATGGGGTAATAGCAGTCAACGTGCTAATACCTGAACGATAGTACCTAAACAAGCGTGTTTTGTCCTGAAAGATTCGTTAGATGACAGCTCGAGATCCTCCGACAATCGTTTAGTATGAGTCCATAATTTACACATAAAGGCTGCCACAAAAATCTAATTCAATTTTTTTTTGCTATGAATGTAGTTACATCAAATTACAGATGGAATGGTTCTAAGTGAGCCGTGTACATTCTTGCTTTAAAACTAAGCATGCAAAATTTACAAAATCAGGATTGATAAAAAATTTAATGAAATGTGGAATTTAATAAATACTAAGAAAATAAAACAATCCTCCTTTTAGGGAGTGAAAAGGGGGTTGAAGTTTATATAGGGAATCAATAACCGCTGAACTGATTCAAATGAAATACTCGTGCCTACCTGATTCTTTTTCATCATTCATATATCACGAAGAGTAAGAGATAATAGTGAAGTATATATTAGACATGTGTTGAGATAATAAAAAAAACAGAAACTAAATACACTTACCCATGTTTTATGGCCGCCTTCCAAAAATCCATGAGATATAAAATAGAATGGACCTCTTGGGTCAAGGTTAGCATTTTGTATCTTTTCCTTATTGTCTGAATCGAAGAGGACCGGTATCCTTCTGTTTCGTCTGGTAAAAACGGCGTATCTGAAATAAACAATAACATTTAGTAAGTAATTTAATATTTGTATCAGTTACTAATATAGGAAATTAAATTATCAAAACATGTGTTTCTGTGATATTATACTAAACCAATAAAAAATTAATCTTTCAATCTCCTATTTAGTGTATATTCGTAATTTAAGATACTCGGGAGAATGATAAATTATATTTTTAATCACTAGTTTATCGAATATATTTCAATTCCTTCCTCATCCCATGGGAACACTACATTTTAGTATGGAGGTGGTTTTGGTATAGGGGTAGCTGGCACCCTGGATGTTAATCCCAGCCATTTGAGCGTGAAGAAGTAACAAACAAACACAAAACAACTCACGAACTTTCGCCTTTATAATATCAGTATAGCATAGTTTGTAGGTAGGTACCTACTACGAGTTCTTTGACACGAATAAACACGATTAGGATGCGCTCCGCCTCGCCAATCTAATATCATCAGAGTCGCTTTCATGTTTTTATATGTAAAATAGATCTCTGTTATCACGAACGCGGCATATCGTACTAAATAATCACCTCAAAAAAACGTGTTTGATCTCGTTACCAATATTTGTCTTACTGTACATGGAAATAATTAGCGAAATTTATTTCACAAACCTATTTGATTTGTGAACTTAGCAAAATTCCTAATTTGTGTGACATGAGTCATTTCACTATGTTACTGCAACAAATCTGTCAGTCGACTGATCTCGACATGATCTTTATAGTTGGATACGTCTCAGCCAAACTTTCAACGATTTACAATGATAATGGACCTCGTGTAATGAGTAGGTACTCCAATTAGTTACAAACGTAAACAGAAAGCTAAAATTAAATATCTGACTCTGGTAGTGAGCGATATTTGTCTTTATCAATGTACGAAGTCCAACTCTTGACCACTGTATTATGTCCAGAACATTCAAAAGTCACAACATCAAATAAACTGCGACTAGATAAAACGAACTCGGAGTGCAGCAGCATAATCAATATATAGTTTGCTTATAAGAAACACGTCACTATGCAATTATGTATAGGACGTAAACATTTGTTTGGTCTCGCTCGTGATTGATAAAAGTCATGGACGAGCCCCCGCCCGCTTATCAGTCAGACGAACGACGTTTAGATAAGATAAAGGGAAGCGGATCTTTACTAATGAGGTTTTTGATTCAGCTATTATAAATAAGCATGTATGAGAGAGTTAAACAACTTTTAGCATAGACGTAATTTCTGTTAGGAAGATTTATAACGTCACGCATACAATGTACATTTTACGATCCTAATTACTACGACTTCTTATATTTGAATAAGGTTTCCTTTTTCGTTTTTAATAAAGTTTAATTATCTTATAAGTTTTTAAATTGACGATTATGCCAATAGACTGTATGAATAATTTTGGTGCATTGCCCATTTTAGTAATCGGCATCTTACAGTTTAAGTGTCGCTATAAGATTTCATATTTAATTATTGTATATTTACTACTTTCCTCATCACCCTTGCCGCAATGCCTCAAAACCAAAGTCGTCGACAAGTATTAATAATTTCCTACCTGTCATGACATGCGGTGTCGAGACGTTGACATTAACGGTGAGACAACTTTACAATGTTAAAGTCCCGCAGCGGGAAATGAAGCGAGCTATGCTAAGGAATTGTGAAGGAAACAATTCGTAATGAGGTCAATCCATAAATAATCAATGTTACCGACATAGCTTACAAGATAATAGTTTTGGTTCAGTCTGGTTATATTGCGGAATACTGAATTGGAAATGGGCTGGCATCTCCTGAGGACCGATGGAGAAAATATGTCCTAGAGTTGAGACCGCGAATCTGTAAACTGAAGGTAGGACCTCTCCAGGCAGACCAGATCTGACAGACTGACCTGAAGGCGGGTAGGATAGATTAGAAGCGGAAGGTGAAGGACTGCAAAAAAATGAATAATTGATATTTCTTCAGGATTCCTCGTATCTAAGACACAACAGTAAGTGGGATCTGAGTTATTTTAGAAACAACCTATGAAACCTAAAATTTTTGTTGCCGAGATTTCTTTGAATTGAGACGCAGGGACCACTCCCTAAGTAATTCAGTGCCTACCAGAGACAATTATGCAAGATATATCCTTACTGAATCTAAGCGAAAGGTTGGTGATGTGGTACTAGTCAAGAAATACTGCATTTTATTTTAAGATAACATAACTTGGCGCAGAAATATCGACGCTCTAAATAGGAAATGGAAACCTATACCTAACCATATTATACAGAGTTCATACACAGTAAGTACTAAGGGCAAAACGATTTTGTATATACCATTTATAAAATCGTTTAACCATATACCATATCTCCGTGTAGTGACGGATTAAGCATACGAAGTGTCACCATCCCTGTTCATCCCGTGTGTTTTGTAAGAGCCGTCTAAGGAAGCAAACTATGCAGGACAACAGCTCTGCAAAGAGAAGGAAAACTAGAAACAAACCCTATACCTACCTGTTTGGCCAGCGAGGCATAGTAGACTAAAACCTCCTTTCTTAAGAGAGGCCTATGTTCAGTAGTGGACAGCTAAAGGCTGTTGTTGATGATGATGATATAATAATAATAAAATAAATAAATAAAATCTTTAAAATGATCCCGACTTCGAAAATCCTGTCAACAATTAGAAAAGAGGTGATGAACTTGGAACAGATTTTCTTGAAATATAGCTAAAATCACTCAATCAAGTCATCTTTTAAACAAAATTTACAACACGACGAACTGAGAACCACCCACTTCTATCCATTTGAGAGCCATGAGGCCATAGACAAACTATACACACGTTAAACTAAAACACCCTCCTTTTTTAAGTCAGAGGTTTTTACGTCAACAGTTTACGGCAGCGGTCATTCGGTTATTCCTAACGAACACGAGGGCTACTATTTACAATTTAAGTTTTACTACTTTCAAGTTGAATTAAATGAAAATCTTTTACATACCTGGCAGTAGTTAATCACATTAGGTCTTATTGACAAATCTGTTGGAAACCTATTATAAAGGATATTGTTGGCACTCACCGAACTGCCATAGCTTCAGGTGGGACAGGAAAATAATTATCCGGTCGATTTTCCGTCCATGGGTATGCCTTAGAAAAGCACCCGTAATCTCCAAAACAACGCTCCAACTCGACATCGTCTTAAAAAAAAACAAAGTCTAAACTTTTATTCTTTATTACAACCTGTTTACTTAATAATACAGACATACGGTACATATATGTAATAGAAGCAATAAGTATCAAATATCAATAGTTACGAGAGCTTATCAACAGAACTGCAGACATTTTGAGCAGACACATGCCCAGCTCAATTTCACATGGTGACTAGCTTTCTATCCAACATTGTTTTATATTCTAATAAGAGTTTTTAACATATCATTGTATTTTTTTTTGAAAATCACTACTAGGCGGAACTATCTTACTTGCGAGGCCTCTCTTTAGAAAATAGGTTAATTTTTAACCTCTTTTCTAAAGAGAGGCCTATTTCCAACAGATGACTATTAAAGGCTCTTCATGATTTAAAATGTTGTTTTGTATTTTACTTAACAGATCACTACATTCCATTTTAATTACGAGTTCTTTTTTAAATGTACTTTCCTTGTCTTTTATTACATGGACAAACCTAATTTAAATACATATATTGTATATATAAAATATTCACTTCGTTAAGAAAGAGTTTTAAACATAAAATATACTTAATAAAATATAAATAAACACAGATATAAATTATTATTTTCTTAACCTACAGCCATTACTTGCCCTTCTTAAAAAATAGTAAATGGAAACTAACCATTAAAACTTGTGGGATAATTTGTCACATCAGTAGAATTCTGTTTATCCATCAACACCATAATCGTCTGCAGCATCAATGTAGCACTTGTCTTGTTATACATCTTTTATATTTAATTTAAATATTCACCAAATAAAAAAATTCAATGCGAATATCTATAACCGCGCACGTGCTGACATTACAACAGAAGTTATCAAATATGCGAACGCAGTGAAATATGATCAGACGCAGACAATAATGTTCTTTGCTAATTGTTCTGTTTAAAGTGTGGTATCAAATGAAACGGCTTAACTAGTCCGTTCTTTATATAGACACTAGTGAATGCACCGCACTCAAACTTCAGTAGCCCGTCGTTGTTACCTAACGTTTGTAGTTCGCAGACGTTCCGGGATACGGCGATAACAGGGGTTACAACGTTATCAATATAGTTATTTGTTAAAAACTATTGACGCACGAACAGACGCGACGTATATATGTATATACGTGTAGCAATAACTACCGTTGTGTACTACATCATTAATTTTAATAAACAATGTTAATTAGTTGAACTTTTTGCATTATCTACAATGTTTCTCAAGAGAATAACTGTTTATTTAGAAATAATATGTCACTACAAATCTCATCTGGTTGCAGCGTAACGTACATACAATTAACGAATACAAACAACGATCTCAAACTAGATCACATAAATATTTTTCTGTTCAGGGTGGAACCTACATCACCCGGAATTAGTTTGCGAAGTGGCCTGGGTTCGAAACGCCCCTGCAGATTAAAAAACACAAAACTGTTAAACACATTAACATAATAGTACCTTATACTACCTTCGTAATACGTTTATAAATATAAGGGTGCGACATTGCAAGAAAAAACTCCTACACAAAGCGGGATAGAAGTCGAGACGGCTCGAGGGTTTGAGCTTCGCGAAGAATAGGCCAAAAAATAAATATACTATGATTAGACTGTTTTCAAAAAACTAACTTTTCAATCAAACCTCGTATTTTCGATACCTACATCTTTATTCGTTACCTAAAGTTTAAGGCATCTTTATGGCACACTCTTTTAACTGCCTTTAAATTAATACGAAGCCGTCGGAATGTTTATAGCCACGGACTGCTTCACCTAAAGATTGTTCGTAGCATCATGCATTCTTGATATAATTTTGCTCAAGAATATGAGACTATGAACGCCAAAAGATGTTTTTAATATACGGCTGTATTTCCAAAGGTTGCGCTTTTAACAAAAAAATACCAATACTATAACTTAACTTATGATACTCGCGTGTAGCGTGTCAAAATAACAGAACATATACTAAGACGAAATTTAATCCTTTGTTCTAAAAGCATGTACCCGTCATATTGAAGGAGTATTAATTTTTACACGCCTATTTTTCTACTACGTCCAGAAACATTTTTATATGACAATTTGCAAGTAGTATTATATATAGAAAAGTTTTAATTGGCATTACAATTTGTATGTTCGACAACATAATAAGCTTATGACAATATCGCAAAATTACCATCTATAAAAATAACAGTAAACAAAACTCGGACTTTGGAATAGTCTTGATAATATCTGTCCTCTAATTAACAGCAATAAGTTATTGTGTAAACATATAAGTTAATAGTCATAGCACTAAATAGTTTTTTACTGTAAGACTCACTAACACTTTTATAGGACACTTTGTTTAAATATATTTTTTTAGTGTACAAATAATACAATTTAAAAAGGCACTTGGAGATATCTTGTTGTCTAATGAAAAAGGTCATACGACAAATGGCATCTTGTGACGAACAATATGCACAATAGACTATAATCAGAATGATCACTCACAATTAAACCATTTGAAGAAAAACATTGTCATCATTTCAGTCTTGAAACTTTATTAACTTTACTTGACCCAAGTAAACACACAATTCTCAAAGTCACAAAAATAATTATATCATGCAAAAATATCATCCCTTAGTCTTAACACCCATAACTTGGTTTAGAAATATCAATTCATCATAATTCTATAAATAATCCACAATAATGGATTAAAGTCATAAACAGCCTACTAATTATATATTTAGCGTTGTAAATGCATATAAAATTCATATCGTCTTACGAAAACAACACAATTAGCTAATTTAAGAATGAACCTTGCGTCCTTTGCTCTTGGATGGTGTCGAAGAAAAGTTACAATTGAATGTCATCTCATCAGTGAAAATATCAGACATTGACATTGCCTCATTTTTATTGGTCTGAACGAGGAACTTATCGAATTCTTCCGAGCCCAAGTTCTCTTTATCAGCTGATTTAGTTTCAGAAAAATTGAAACCAGTAAACTTTCCTGCTGATAACCCTTCATTTTCAGCATAAAACTGCGTAACATCTGAAGAGCATTCGTCTTTAAATCCGCTGTCGACTCGCATCCAATGAACGTTGGAAATTTCTTTCAAGGCATTCTTACTATTACTTTTAGATATATTTGTTACAGTCAGTTCTGAGGGTTTTATGGCACTTTCGTAATAACTAGAAGCGTTTGCATAGAATGTATTTTCATTAAATCCACTATCTACTTTCTTAAAACTAGTCGAGCTATCACTTCCCACTTTGGTCATGTTACTGGCGGTGTAATCAAGTTGAGATACATTTTCAGTCAAAAACTTGAGATCAACCCTATTAAAGTCTATCTTTTTATCTTCCAAAGAGAGTGGGTTATCTATATTATCTAAACTACTATCTAATGACATATGTAGAGGGCTCAAAGGCAGTGGAGCCCTAATTTTACTAATTTCATGAGAGCGTATATTAATCTTAGATTTGCCTTTGATAGGCGTGTCGTCAATAGTCACAACACTGTCTATTTGAGTAGAGGACTGTATATTGCACGAGTCACGCTTCGCTGTTTCCACTTTAACTAAATGATGAATGCTAGCTTCTTCCACTAACGACCATGTCGCCTCCTTTTCTTCTAATGGTGATTTGGATTCATAGCCTGCTGCAAAATAATTGAAACATTTATTGATATGATAATGCAAAAACACAAGCATATGCATTACTTAAGAGGGTGAGGGCTTTTTAATAGTTATTTATGAGTATTGTGTTACAATGGCTATGTATTATACCCAACTGTATTTAGGAATTAAATATAGGAAAATTAGGAGTATATTAAAAAGGAAAGGTAGGTAACCTAACTATGACCAGAAACACATAGGTCCACACTATCACAGATAACAATTTGTAATGTATGTAGCTCTTAATTATGGAAAAAAAACTCTAATATTAATCGCCTATTAACTAATACAATCTGTATAAGTCTGTAACATAATTTACTATAACATCAACTTTTCAAAATGCTCGATTATTACAAAAAGCGTAAAACTCACCTTGAGAATGATTATGCAAAGAGCTGTCTACACTCATATCCATGCTGAAATCCAACTTTTGAACTGATCGGCTTCTATGCAGACTGGACATACTTAGACTGCGTTTTTCAGAAAATGAAAACGAGCCTTTCCGGCTCCTGGGTGGAGATTCCTTAAGTGAAGTACTCCTTTTTATCTTATTCGGAGTCAGTTTACAAAAACACTTTTTCTTCTCTGTTTGTGCTTGAGATTGGACGCAGTCAAGACATGTAGCCATTGTTTCAGATTCAGGTGACGTAAAGTTATTCTTCTAAAAATAAAAAACTATATGTATAAACAAATACATTTTTAAACTAATACTAATGTCTAAGAAATTGATGATCATGGGTATTAACATTCAATAAACAAGATTCGACGTTCTCTAATGTACCTAAGTATTTAAGGGCGCTTTTCAGACAAAGAAAATCAAGGTTTTCATCAAACATTAAGTGGGTAAGATCTGCTCTGAAATATTGTAACTTAAACTCTGGTAACTAGTAATATAAGCTCTGGTAACTAGTAATATAACATCTGTCTTGATTAAAGATCGAAAGAACTTGATAAGGATGGAACGTCACGGGCTCGTCAACACAATGTACTACACACTGAAATTTTATAAGTTTACGACTGAGTTGAAATTCGATGGCCAAAAAATGCAATAATAGAAGTTATTTATTTACTTCATGTAGGAAAACCGACAGCTACAAAAATGAAATGGTCAGATTGATATACTACATCAAGCCAATGACAGGTTTTCACGAATAGAATTATTGTAATTTAACAGAGGTTATGGATCACCAACTAACACGACACTATACCTATACAATGAATGACAACCGATCTAAAATGTTAATTTTGGAAAATTTTGAGGTTTAGCATACTGCACACAACATTGCTTTTGTTATTAAGGGGATCAAAACAGGACTCCTTGCAAAATTTATTAAAATCGCTGCTCGTTCGAACAATATATGACTTTTTTCTATAGTTGGAGGAAGAAAATGGAATAGAAATGGGTGGATTAAATGTAATCGACTTATGGGGGACATTAAATTTTAACTTTTGCAGAAGGCTAGGACAGTTAATCTCATTAGAAATAATTTTCAAAAGAAATGTTGCATTGAAGCATTGATGTTATCATTACAATGTTTGCCTAATATCTGTTAGTTTAAAGTTCAATTCTTTTAAATCATAAACATATTTGACAAAAAAACAACTTAATTATAAAACACGGACGTATTCCAGTCCTATGACATCAATACTAACCTCTTCATCGCTTGACGCAACTTTTGTAACGGGAGATATGGAAGCTGATGCTAAGGATGACGATGTAGCAGAACTCTGGTTGGTGCGCTTTGGGGTTTGGAATCCTATGGGACTAAAACATGGCTCCCCAAAGTCAACAACATCCAATATTTTGTTCCGGTAACAAGGCCTCCCATTACTTGAAGAACCTTTCTTCAGGGGCGTACCAAATGTACGTTTCATTCCTTTTGAAAGAGCATCTTGACTCTAAAACAATACATTAAGAATATTAAATACCAAATCACTGCTATCAAATTAGAGGTAAAACACTCGAAATAAACTTCAAATAACATAATATTACTATAAGTCAATGAAATGCGATTTCATATCAATAACATCTATCCGAAAAAGATCCTTATAGTTAGTGTTTTTGTAACCAGTGTACATTCTCGATTTTCTTCATTATTTTGTCACATTTTCCTTACAAGTTAAATTACAAATCCATGATTTAATGTTTTATTGTTTTTAGTATCATTATTAACGTATTAGGTCAGTAATAATCTCATTAGTTAGAAACTAATGGTTCCCTACAATATTCCCGTAAATTCTATGTATTTTACGATGGGATAATAATTTATTTTTATGTAGGTAAATGACTATGCGACAGTTTAAAGCGGAAGAATTCATTAGTCTAGACTTTAAGTTTAATGAATGCGGTATGCCCAAGGCTTGGATAGTTTGGGGTTCCTTGCGGAAAGTCTTCGTTCCACGGCGGACGGCGATATGCTGATGGTGATAACGTTTGTTAGGTGTATGTCCATTAAAAGTTATATATTTAAAACAAATATGTGTCAGTTTCAAGAATCCATAAGTGCTTAAAATAAATAAGAACTGTCGACAAAATAAATAAATGACAACTGCTTCTTAATATTGCCAGTTCAACCGAAGTTAAGACTTTGTTCTATTAATATGTATTATTTATTCCTTACTATGCAGCAAGTTCACAATAATTGATTTTTATAAATATTTGAAAATGATGTAGTAAGATTTTTCAAGAAGCAGCGGAAATAAGTCTTCTTTTTATTTAATTAAAAGTAATACACACGTAGACAATTCCTTTAGAGATGCGAGGACAGACATCACTTGGAAGTATTTTCCTCAGCAGGATCGGATGATTCCGTCTTTTGAAGTGGTCGTTCTTCGAAGTCGACATGTCCGTTCCACCAACCCACATCCCCGATCAAAACAGCCACATAAAAAGTTCTTCGTGATTGCGAAGAAAACCTCAATCTATTTAAATAGTCTGCAGATTCAGCTCTTCAGTTGATTCGGTGCTAAATGCTAATTCGGTGCTGAACCTAAACAAAGATTCTTAGGCATTTCTGGCTGTCAAACATTTGACGCCGATCAAAACAAAACAAAGGCACATTAGGATTTTCTTTGGTATGCCTTGATTGGGCCGTGTTGATTAGGCTCAGGTAACTTTTCACAGAATGAAGTATGTCGGGGAAGCTAATGAATAATAAAAATAACTTACGAGCTATAAATCTTTTTCATAAATAGAGGATCATATTCGCATCTCTAAAGCAAAAGAAAATATGTTTCTAACATTTAAGCACTCACAAGATCAGGACTGAATACAACAGGCGTATGAGCTTCGTATCTGGAAGGTGGGCGTGACTCTACATGTATCTCGTCATCTGTTTGCTCTGAATCATATTGTTCCATATCACTGTGTTCTTCAAAGAAGAGTTTTCTTCGAAGCGAGCCGTTAGCAGTGATTTCATATTCACCAGACATGTCTTGATCCTGTAATAGAAGTAGATGACAACGAAGAATTACGTAGCTAAAAGGATTAAGAATATGTGAAAGGTAATAATAGTCAGTTGTTTTTATTGTTTAATATTCGATACACATATTAGATAATTCTTATTTGTATATTATCTGATAATTCACATATCAGACTGCCTCGGTGGTGCAGTTGTAGCTTATGCGACTGCTGTGCCGAGGTCTCGGGTTTGATTCCCGGGTCGGACCAAATGTTTGTATGTTCTGCAATTATTGGTTCCCAGTTTGGGTGTTTTCTATGTTTAACATGTATGTATGTATGTAACTAGGGGATGCCAAATCTTTTGTCATAAAAGCTTTTGCATCCCAAGATTCGGTCAACGATCATGTAATAAATAATTGAGTATTTGGGTATTGGAACAATGGGTACAGAATTTGAGTACAATAAAAACAATACACTGAATGTCTCACATCAAGAGATTAACTATGAGGTGCCTAAAATAATAAGCCTTTGTTTTTTTTTTTTTTATGTTAAAGGGGGCAGACGAGCAGACAGGTCACCTGATGGAAAGTGACTATCCCCGCCCATGAACGTCTGCAACTCAGGAGTCACAAACGCGTTGCCGGCCTTTTAGGAAAGAGTACGCTCTTTTCTTAAAGGTTGGTGCTCATTAATAACCTAAACCTGCGATGCGTTGGCGCATCTACTTTGAAGTCTTTAATTGAATTTGTAGCAGTTAGCCTTGTACTATTAAATTAGGCCCTGGATCGCCTAGTGATTGAATTGGAACTATATAAACTTCATTAATTATACGTGAATATTTTAATGTACATCATTGGCCAGTATTACTTAATCTATTCATGTGACTTTATGAGAATTCTTTCCGTACCTACATAAGCTTTGTTGCTGTTGTGCCATATTTTTTTAGCCTTTATTAATTAATTTTTTTAGTTTAGTTTAGTTTCACTTTATTAGTTGATGGTATAGGGGTACAAACGAGACGGGTCACCTGAGACGAAAGTGCGAGTTTTTTTCACATCCACTCGTCACACACATCGTCACGGTGACTGCGTTCGGCGATTGGCCCGCATTGAAATCTGCACTGTTTTCTGACTAAATATCAACTCTCATATAATTTCAGTTTGTAGTATTTAATTTTTTGTCCCAGTGAACTAAATATGTATGCTAACCGATGTGAACCTTCAAACTCCGTGATTACATGGTTTCTCCGATACAATTAACATTTCATCCTTTTAATCCCTTTACTATGTCAAACTACCAGCAGAAAAGACATATATACATCATTAATTACCTGTGTATAAGTGCAGAACGGTTTAAGAAGATTTTCAAGTTCAGGAGGGAGCTCCGGAGGTATTGTGAGAATGGTTTGTGCTGAAACTATAAACATTGTACATATGTGAAATAATGCATTTGTTTAAAATACAATACAATAGTAGATGACTTCTACGAGTATAACCTTAAATTTGTTTATATTGTATTTTTCGAAACCCTACTATGACAATATATAGTATTTATTATTTATACGACTAAAGGAAAAGCTTCGCAAAAGAACCACAATGGCAAGAAGAGCAGCTGAATGTTATTAAAGCGAACTATTCGCTATAGAAGGCGCGACACGTCAGTAGCATGCTCAAACTGTGCGCTACTCTGCCACAATCAGTAAAACAATTGCAACAAAACAGGTTGATTAGTGTATTTGGTCTATTATGATATTTTTTTAACTTACTTTATGATAACTCCATTGGGTTTAATGATCTTTCACAAAAAAAATTCTTTAGAAGTACAAATATATACTATTACTTTAAAAGTATTGTTATTTCTTAGATAACACAATAATTACCTGTTTGTGTAATAATGTGTCTTTTTTTGTTTTTGGTGTACAATAAAGAATTAACAGATTATTAAACTCGCTACTCTGGCATGTGGATAGACAACTAATGGTTTTGATCTTCAGTTGCTCACTACACATTAATAATGATAGAAGGGTCACTACATTTAATAATCTCACCATAACAAAATTATTTGTCAGTTAAGCCTCTTCAGTACAGTTAGGCTTCAACTTCATATCTGAGATGGCATGTATTCCCTACTTCATATTGTAATCATAGAAAACTAGACAGCTGTATAATATGTAGTACAGGGGCATTTTTGTGACATAACAATTTCTACAGTAATATTTAGGCTACAGCACAGGTTCTCAGATTAGAAAGCAACTGCAAGACATTGTTTCTGTACAAGATATTTTTTGTTTGAGCAAATAATGTGGAAGCGACCTTGGGAGCTTCAGAAAATACCTATGTTTCCAATAACTGACTAACACCAGACTGCCATATATTGTCTATTTTCTCTCTATCACTGCTGAACTTGAAATCGTACAGATTGGTCAGCTACAAGAAACTAAAAAAAGAATATTTAAACTTACCTTCTTTTGTGACCACAAGCTTCTCTTGGATGAAACTGTCTATTTGGATACTTGCGTCACAAGATGTCTGAAGCAATGGTTTCACTTTTTTGGATGATTCTATTACAGGACTAGGCATTACCATCTCTTGGGAGAAAAATCTGAAAGGATTAATTTTTTTGCTGTAAATGCTTGTAAGTTTCATCATTAGCTTTCTCTAATGAGATGCCTCTTCTATACCCAATCCTATTATTTAAATAAGGTTGAGTCACATTCTTTTCATTTTGTGATGAGCATAATCATTATTTGTTGTTTTTTTTTATGGAACGAGCAGACGGGTCAACTGATGGAAAGCGACTACCGTCGCCCATGAACGCCTGCAACTCAGGAGTCACAAGCACACTGCCAGCCCTTAAAGAAGGAGTGCGCACTTTTCTTGAAGGTCATATCGGTCCAGAAATACAGCAGCCGATAACTTGTTCCACAGGTTGGCAGTGCGAGGCAAAATGTGTCTTGAAAAGCGCACAGTCGTGGAGCCCCAATTTTCCAAGTGGGGATGAAAATTTTGGCGTGTGGAACAATGGCGGAAGGTTGCGGTCGGTATAGTCCGAATAATTCCTCGGAGCACTCATGGATCAGAGTGGAACTCGGAGGATGCAGAGCGAAGTTACATCTCGAGCGAAACTGGACTTCGTTTGATATTTCGATGCATAGGATTGCAATACTGGCTGAGGCAGGTAGGGAGGTGCCCTCGAACCGAGGCGATATGACAAATGGTATCTTTTGTGCGATGAACGCGCAAACCTGTTTTTTTTTGGGTTAAAATGGACCATATTCAGTTGACCCCAAGCTGAAACCTTCGCTTAGAAAGTTTCAACTTTAGACACAATTTCGTTTTAACAACACATTTTTTTTTTACATATTGGGACGGGATTGGTATAATGTGTAATTTATCTAAAAATCTATGTGTTGAAAAACAATATATTTAATTATGTTTCTCAACTTTTTGGTTATTATAAAACAGGCGCTGCATAGGTTGAGACCAGATATCCCATGTGTGAGATGCTTGAAGTTATTCTTTATGATCTATATATTATATAAGTGTACTGTTGTGACCAGGGTGTGTGTTTTTATATAATTAACAATCTTTAACAGAGTGGTCAGATTTTGATTTTTCTATAAAACATCCATCAACAAATGATTGTGAAATGAATGGATGTTACTAAATATATGCTTGCTTGCTATTATTTATTGGTCTTACTCTACCATCACAATACATTATGTGAAAGTTGAAAATTATCCTTGTCTATGTATGGATATATTTATTAATATTAGCTATTTAAGTATTAAGAGCACAAAGTCTAAGAATGTTAATTTTTTTAAGTTTATGTGTATAAATATTCATTCACTTAAACACTGTCCGTAAATCAACTCACTGATTAAAAGCTACAAATATTAAGTATCAATTAAGTAACAATATATAAAGGGATAATACATATTAAATTATGTGTGGTCATACAAATACATAAACAGTTACACATCAATTAACTTAGATTGTTGGGATATCAAAAGTGGCTGATTATTTTATTTGTACAATTAAAAAAATATGAGAAATTTTATTTACTACCTGTCAGTGGCTTCTTCGGCTATCTTCTCCAGAGCAGGGTCGGGGGAAGGTTCAAACTGGCTGTTGCACACGACGATATCCGCGGGCACTAGCGTGCATGCTTGATCAATATCCCAGCGGAATGAACCGTTACTTTTCTTTTTGTATATTTTACACATTCCCGGACTATGCAACAAAATAACATTAAACTGTAGGAACCACAATTAGTTATACAAGTTTAGGTGTATTATTTTAAATTGTTACTGACCTGCATATTGGCTTGTGCAACTTGTCAATCAAGGCTTTATCAAACGGATTCCGTACTTTTTGATTAGTTGATGGAGGTGTTGATTTGTGAACAATATTTTGATTAATATTTTTATCCCCCATTTCGAAATTAACGTTACTTTTGTTGTTTCCATTCGTGACAGTCGTAGCACAATGACCTCTTCTTTACCATAGAGTATCCCTACACAAAAAAGAGATGTTAAAAATAACTACATATCGATTTTATCATTGATTCTCTCGAATTGAGTTTGAGAATTCTTTGGGTTTCATTATTTAAGATACTTATTAATTTGTAAGAATAGTTGCCTCTTTATACAAATTCTTTTTTGATGATATAATAAAGCAATGTATTCTTTCAAATTTACAATATTTACAAAGCACCGTATCAAAGTACCGGTATTTCCGGACCAATACGACCTTCAAACCTTCAAGAAAAGAGCGTACTCCTTCCTAAAAGGCCGGCAACGCCTTTGTGACTCCTGAGTTGCATACGTTCATGCATACGCATCAGGTGAACCGTCTGCTCGTCTGCCCCCCCTAACATAAAAAAAAAACTTTAATGAATTTTTCTTTGAACTATGTCACATTCGTGGCCAAATTGCTTAAATGAGAATACTGCAATATAATTTAATTTCTAGAAGAATAAGTATTTCGTACTTTAGCACAGTTAAATAAAAGTATCAGTATGTAAGTATATGAGTTTGTAGTGATTTCAATGATTACTTCATCAACTCATAAGTATCAAATCTTTGTATTGTTGTATTGTATGAGAGCGAGCGGCCTGTGTTAGTAAAATAATCCAAAACAATACAACTGTTATTTTCGTTAATTTTAACAATTCAGCTTTTTTGTAGGACGGTTACTGTCGTCTACTCAGCAACGCAACTAGATTTAGTCTAGTGAGCGGTCCGGCCACAACTAGTTTAATTGTACTACTCCCTACCGTGCTGATCTATGGTAGGAAAGAATAATTTGCATTTAAATCTACAGCTACAACAGCTACATTTGTATTATATGCAATACAATCAACCGAAGTTGAAGACTTTTGTTCTCTTTTCTTACTTCTGTTTGAACGTCATGTGTAGTAAAGTCATTTTTGGAGAACACACAGAAAAACAAAAATACAGGCCAAAACCTCCTTTCTAAGGAGAGGCCTATGTCCAGCAGTGGACTAGTATAGGCTGTTGATTATGATGATGATGACACAGAAGAGTAACAATATCTGTATTTCGATACCTTGTTGTATTTAAAATATGATAATACATAATATGGTTATTTACTATCGTAGATTTAACATACATTTAGCACACCACGTAAAGCAATCAAGCAAAATATAAATCGAGAAAATGGATTGTAGCCAGTGTAGACACAGTTATAACAATACAAAAAGTTTTATGTAGAATATGTAGATTGACAACTCTAACTTCATTGCTGTCTAGATTTTGACGCTTGACTTAAAGGTCTTAGTAACCAGGTCATTAAATTCCGAAAAAAAAAACTAGATTTGACGTATTCCAAGGTGGTTGAAATTTAAAAATTGATTCTTACTTCATACTGTTGGAATGATGAAAATGAAATTTTTTCTGCAAAATGGAAAGTAATAACTTAAGTTGTGAACCTATGGACATTGATCTTAGTAATCAATCAATACAAGTAATGGATATTTCCAATAATGAAAGAATTGATGATACTACATCGAGCCCTATACGAAGCAGTGTTTCGCCTTTATCGAACGAACAATATTGCTACAAATCAAGCTCGAACCGAGAGTTAATTGTCAAGAAATTTCATATAAATATACAAAGGCCGCCTAGAAATTTCAAAAACAATTATCTCAAGATAACAGCAGTTGTACTCACTACTTTAATTTTATTAATAGCTTATAATGTGCATAGTATAAAGTGTTGTGATCAGTTGAACTTAGACCTCCTAAAGGAGACTCTTTCAAGTAGATTATATGGACAGACAGAAGCAGTTAATCTTATAATTAAGACATTAGAGACCAAAGCGAATAGTAAAATTATGTTTTTTAGTGGTGGGACAGGTGTAGGTAAAACATTAACTTCTTCACTATTGTTGGAGACAATGGGTACAGGATCAAATATTTACCATTACACGATGCCTACTTTTAGAAACACATTTTCTACAGATTTAATGTTTGGCCTCATTATGTGCAGAATTTCTTTAATTATTGTGGATGATTTAACAATAAATGATGTGGATGTAAAGGAACAAATAAAAACTGTAATTGAGAAGAGTGCAAGTCTGGGTAGAGACATTATTATAATACTTATATATAATTGTAATGAGGACCATGAAAATTTTGAGAGGATATGTAACACATCATTAAAAAGTAAACTTTTCGAAAACTTTTCTGAGGTAAAAGCACTAAAAAGTTACATACAATTTGAGCCTCTTTCAGAGATGCATTTAAAAGAGTGTGTAAAGCATGAATTGGGAGATAGAAAACTAAATAATTTAGAGTTTAGTTATGTGCTCAAAAATTTTAATGTGTCTGTTGATGGTTGTAAAGGTGTTCACTCAAAAATGAAGTATCTCGTCCCTATGTAAGGTATGTGTTCTTAACATTGTAGGCTTTTGTAGTTTTTGAGTGTAGAAAATTGTTTGCTGGTAGTTGAAATGTTATTAAGTATTGAAGTAGGTAAATTAGCAATGTAAATAATTGATCATATTGATAGAAAGTTTAATCCTACATTTTGTATTATGCTATTAGACAAATGGGTGGGTTTAAAAAAAATATTGTTTTATTGTAGATCAAAAGAACTTTATTTTAGAGAATTTTACATGATAATCGGCAATGCAAAGGTCCAAGAAATTATGTTGAATACAATTACTGACAATTCTTTAATACATCTACACTTCCACATTTGAAAATTATTTGACAACAAACTTAGCCTTGTTGACAAAAAGAGCAATTTCTAAATGAAGTTATTTGCTCATACAAGTATAAAATACTTTAGTATGCTCTTTAAACACGAGTAATTTTAACCATATAGGTACCTAGTTAAGGGTGCAATTTTGGTATATCTGACTAAACATATTGTTGACATCCTCTTAGTAACACCCTAAAATGTATTTCAATGTCATGCCTACACAGCCTTACAAATATTTGTTTGGCTAGAAAACATTTAACACAATACTAGTTGAATAATTAATATATAATTCTATTGATGATTATCAGCAATTTTACTACATTAAGTAATTTTAAATTCAAAATTATTACACAAAAGTTATTTTTATTCTAATATACTTTTTAAAAATGTACCCATATTGCAATGCACCCATATTATGTATATTATTTCACCCCATGAAACCATTTAGAACAGTTTGCTCAGTCAACATGTTAATACAGAACATTGTTTGAAATGCCAACATGGAGTGTAATGTTTTAAGTACATTTGTTATGAAAAACAATTTATTTATAGATAAATATATATAAGTAGGTATAATAATAGTAATAATAAAAAGCAGCCAATAGAAAGAGTTAAATGTCATTTTAAAATTCTCCTTCCCCTTCCTAAATGTGAAAGCCGGTGAGATAAATGCATGCATATAATACAGATAAATGTGCATCATTAACAATTTGTGGAGAGCAGATAACTTTAATGTAGTTTTAAAAGAACTCAATTGAAGCTGATAGTAGCCATGAATGGGTATCCCTTTAATTTTAGTTACATTTGGAACACTATTGAGGGAAGACTAAACATTATTACCTTAGATATATTTGTCCTTGTGAAAGTATTATGGAAGAAATAAACATGTAACGTTTGTGCATTTTGCACTGCATTATATTCATTTAATTGTTACATTTTATTATGTCAAATAATAAATTATAGTAATATTTATCTATTTGACTACAGATAAATTTTACTATACTTTTGTTTTTGAATGTTTGTTTCTTTGTTTTTAAATTTAGAGTAAATATAACATAAATCAGCATTAAATTTGTATTTGAAGGGATTCCAGTAAACCCAATAAAAACTTTCAGCTATAGGTATGTAGACAGTATATAAAATGAAAAACAAAGTGACACTAAACTTATGTTAGTGGTTAGACTAGTATATAACAACAGAAAATAAAATTCAAAAAAACTAACTCACATAAAAACTTAATATTAAACCTACATAAATGTGATGTTCATATTGAGTTGAGAAACCTAACAAGTTGTGTTATATCTATGTGTATGCTATTGACCAAGGACACATCAGAACAACAGCTGTTTCTATACCTATTTATGCTTTTTGGAGTTTGGTAACTCAGCATCAAGTTCTAGCCTTTCAATATTACTGGAGACCAACTAGTTTCATACAAGTAAAATATTAAATAAATTCAACATGATCTATACAACAAACCCTCATTAAATATTTTCAGGGTAAATATTTTGTATTCAGCTAATGACAAAGACGACACTTTAAAACATGCAGTGTGCAAATCAATATCTATGTACACAATGTAAGTTTATGTACCTATCTTTGTATATATAGTATTATATATACTTATATATTTTCAAAATTAATTTAAAATGTTGATTAAATACTAAATATGCGTAGATAACAATAAAGACTAGAATACATTTTTAGTTATTACAGTTATTGGCACTAATTTATTATAATGGCACAATAATGTACTCTGTATACGGTAAAAGTACCACAATGATTAGTTGATTAAAAATTCTAGGTAGTCATCTCCCTTATTATGCATTTTTAATATTATAATTCCAACTCTCAAGATGTTGATAAATTAGGTTTTGCTAACTATTCTAAAATATATTACAAAATTGTAAAAAACATGGTTAAATGTCATTTATATCTAACTATATTTATAGGAAATACTGAATTTACTGCAGACTTACAGTTATAGATCCAATAGTTAAAGCACATCTCTTAAGTGAAACTGTGCAAAAAATACTTTACCCCATTACATTAATATCACTATTGACAAAGCTCTTCTTAGTTAATACAATTACCGACATGCAGACCATTCTCTTGCACAGTTATCACTTTAAAATTCTAAGCTATATCAAGTATAATTTGATTTGACAATCAGGTACAGAACCAATATTGCAAATAATCAGTCCAGCTTAACAAAACAGTAAGCAAGCAAAGGAAAGTTTTTCTCACATACTAAGGGCTGAATAAAAAAGCCAAAGCAGAATAATGTTACTAATGTTAAAATCTAAAATTGACCAAATTGATATAATCCACTTAAAGTATAGCATAAGTACACTGATCCTGCACTATTTATTTAATACATAAATAGAATTCATATAGATGAAGAAAACCTAAATCAATATAATCTACAAATAGATGAAAGAGATAACTTTAACTCCTAAAGACAAACAATGTTTGATAATAATTTCTAAATGTATAGTGCCAATAACTGCATATTTTATTAGTTACTTAAATCTTACTATCTAGGTATTTGATAACAAATAGAACACCATTTTGAAGCACGACAAAACATTCATAGTTAAAAATGTAGAGAGACTTACTGAGAAATGTGCTAATAATTCTAAATCTTGAAAATGTTTGCTGATTCACTTATATTATTAGATTCATTAGTATCAGATCTGTGTGTATGATGAGATTTCAATTTATTTAGTTAAGCAACTTTGCCTGGATATTCGTTGACATGTCTTCGATTTTGTCAGAGATCAGAATTTGTACACTCTACTATAAACTACCACAAAGCTTTGAATGTAACGGTATCACATTTTAGCAGTAAATTTTATTTTGTGACTTTACCGGACAAGAATTCACTTCAATTGCTTATATTGGTGTAAATACATTTGCCTATGCGTAAATTAACTTAAGTTTTAGGATTACAAAGAATCTAATAAAATTCGTGTAAGTTTTATAGCAGAATGGGATAATAAATTTTATATCTTACGACACAGAGGATCTATAGTATCTCTTTGATGTAGTTAATAGTTTGAAAAGTCATAACAGCCGCAACAGCATCGCCGTTGTAGTCATTCTGATTTGTGAGACTTATCCTCTGGCGTACGGAAGAGTCGTAAGAGGGACTAGTTAGGAGCGATGGAAATGTATTGCTGTCCACTTGTTGTGGCGTTTGTGCCAGATACGTGTTTCTTGTGACTGGTGGGTAGCTCGTCGTCCCTCGGCATCCACACTTTGCGTTACGCATACATATGCTATAACGGCTACGTCGTCTCCAAGGAGATGCACTCTAGGGTTAAGAATGGTCGTATTGGTTTTTACGTGAGTCGGAGTGTTGTAAATGAAGAATTTATGAAATTCAACTCCTTCCACTAAATTTCCTAGTGCATCTGGGTCAAATGATGTAACATTCGGATCACATAACTTGGAATAAGTTTCACAGTCCCCGTTATTAATAGCATCTATGAGGACTTCGGTAAGCTTAATTACCTCTGCGCGGCGTAACGAGGCGTTACTATCTCCTCGAGCTTTGCCGAATGAGTCTGCTTTTGTTAAAGCTTCTTCGTCATGTTCTTTTGATATTACAGTACATGCCCTATCAACACCCTTCTTATCTTTATCCAGATCATCATCCTCCAACGTCGTACTACTATCGGTTGACTCTTTGACTTGCGATCCATCTCCTTTCTTATTTACCATAGATTTTCCAGAGAAGTTGCGAGTGGCAAGCATAGTAGTCAATATTGCACCTTTCAGTTTGCGTCGTGCATTGAATTTCTTCAAGCAGTCCACGGTTTCTTGCCTGTGCATAACAGAAGCAACACGTTCGCGGTGGCAGATCCATGGGTGTTTCAGAGCCTCAGAAGCTGTAATTCTCTTGCTTGGATTAACGGTTAACATTTGATTTATTAGACTTTTAGCTTCGGGTGTTACTGTATCCCATTCTGGAGATGGATAATCATAAGCGCCGGCTTTAATTTGCCCATAAAGGCGATGTTGATCTTCGTCCCAAAATGGAGGATATCCAACCAGCAAAATATACAGAATTACTCCGCACGCCCAAATATCGACGGGTTTCCCATAGGGTTCCTTTTTAAGTACTTCAGGTGATAAGTAACCTGGAGTTCCAGCAAAGCCAAACCATGCTTGTTGATCGCCTTGTACTTCAATGGCTAATCCGAAGTCAGCCAATTTCACTGCAGCTCCCTTAGCTTTACTTGCTAACAACAAATTTTCTGGTTTCAAGTCTCTATGTACCACTCCATTGTGATGACAGTGGTGAACAGATTCAAGAATTTGTTGTATACAATGAGATGCATCAGCTTCAGAGTAGAATTCTCTGGCTACAATATCTTCAAATAATTCACCACCCGTAACTAAGTCGAACACAAGGTAGTGAAAATGTTCTTCTTGAATAGAATCATGAAGTCTTACGATATTAGGATGCTGGAGCTTACGACAAATTCGGGCTTCTCTTTCCAACTTCTGAAAGTCTCTAGCTGAAAGCTTTTTGGTGTTAATTATTTTAGCCGCAAATTCGTAACCAGTAGACTTTTGCACAGCCCGACGCACAATTGAAAATGCTCCTTTTCCCAGTTCTTCCTTTAGGTCATAGTTATCAGAAAATCGAGTACTGACACTTTCACGATTTGGATTGGCCATTTTTAACACAGATCTATTTACTTCACAGATTTATTGGTAACTTACTGGGTAAACTTTGAGCACAATTCTTCAATTTTGAAGTATGTAACTGTAACAAAAATAAAATTATTTTAAGTGATGCTTTGTTTAATGATAGCATACATTGCAAATTATATCAGGAACCAAATAGTGATATTAATTAAATAGGTACACAGGTTTATTAATAATATTAAATACGGCAAGTTTGTAGTATCCATTTCAAACCTAAAAAAACTGTTGTTTTAATAACTTTTGAAATACAAAATGTCAACATATCATTGAAGGAACCGTATAGTAATGTTATTTATGTACCCAAGTTTATTAATAAAACGAATCAAGACAAATCTCTAATGTAAATCATTTATTAAATTTAAGTCTCTTCTTTTTTTTGGAGTGCGTTTAATCAGATATATATAAATATAGTTCAGTGCTACTATTTATTTACATAAAAATACATACATAAAATTTACATACTATTTTCAGTAATCTTACTGTTCTTATTCCACTCACGAAATGGTCAGAAAATAGAAATTGTCAAGGAGCGAATGAATTTATCCGAATGAAAAACGTCGACACTATTTTGGTCACTCAAGCTAAATTGAAGTTCGCATGCTTAATATAAAACGCGTAGATGCCTAGACAATAGTAATCGTATTCACAGACTTCTAATATTAACACTACGGCACCGGGATGACATTTAGTCAGTGAACAATAATCGATACACCATTGTCCAACACTTTCACCAAAATCTCGAGGACATTATAGTCTGCCGCATTTAAATGTATGTAATTTAATCACAAAATGAAAGCCAAAGGCCCAACCGCAAATAGTTTAGAATATCACTAATATAAAATATTGTACGAATAAAATTATCGTTACGCGCAACTCAGGATGGTATTCTTAGCATAACTAACTGCTACTGATGGCCCGTACTACATTTCTATTGCTACAGATTATGCTTAATTCGTAATCGCGGTTGTAAATGAATATGAAATGTATTTAAAAATATTGTATGTACCTATTATGTGCCCATTTTACACGATATTGAACAAGATGATGATCAAAAAACGAAGGGCCTGGCCCTACACCACACTCTCCTTCTGCTTCGGACACGAGCTTCGGGGTCAAATTCATAGACATTTCAAGTGTTGCCCATGTATAAACTTTTAAACAATAAATTCTTCAACACATGAAAACGTCTAGTTATAATATATAAACTTAAACATACATAGCTATGGCTTTTAGAAGCACTATAGTTTTTTTTTTTTCTGAAAATAGCTTTCGGTTACACCTATACGAATAGTTTTATTTTATTTTTTTTACATCTGTTAACCCTGACTGTTGTACGCAAAATCGATACACTAGCGCAACGCTAAACCAAAGAGAATTGATGAAAGTGGACGTTGCGCCATCTTGTGGAAAATGATGTTAACATATTATTCGTTCGGAAATAAAATGGCGATATTAAAATTAACTGATTAATAATATTTTTAACAAACAAACACCATTTAGTCTACTCATCACCAAAACTTGTTTGAAACTAAGTTACACATGTATCTATAAGTACACAGAAATGATTTAAACTTGTGTTTCATAAAAGAGTTGTTAGTATATACATAGGTTATTTAATTAAATACTACAATACAACAATACAAATGTTATTCAATAATAAGCACAGGTTCTGCATAGTTTGGGATAAGATGATCGTGTATGAGATGTGTGAGGCATATTATTATTTAAAGATTGTCGATTATTGTTCTTACGCTACGTTGGACAATGTATCTCAACACTACACCACCTGTTTACCACCGAATTAAAGTCATTATTTACATACACAACCGATTACGTTAACTGGAGGGGTTAACAAAAATATGTGACCTGCTTTAGCATCCATTCCTCAAAAATGTACTGAAATGCGACACAAGCATTTTTATGTTTTTTTGTAGTGAAAACTTCTTTAGGCGCGTTGAGCATTTTTGAACAACAAAGAAAATAATGTATTTTTTGAGATGGGGAAAAAACCATTGAACTCGCGACACTGTTACCGTTACCCGAAACCTCTGTATATAAGTTTTTTTTTTTTTTTTTTTTGCGTTTATTTGCGATCAGCCCAAAGGCTATGAGCAAATATGCTGTGTGATGCTGTCGTGCGGAGTAGCTTCCCATTGGAAGCATCTACTCATCTGCTGCCCAGAGCTACTGCCAAGAGCTACTGCCGGCCATCTAGCTCTAGGATATGGTGACGTTTTAGTCGTCTCGCATACTCGTCCATGGTGAGTTGGCGAGCGAGTACGTTAGGGTGACGGGTTAATCGCTCTTTGTATTTAGCTGCCAAACTCAGAATTTCCTCCTTGATTGTTTTCATTTCCAGGTGCTCGTGAACTTCGTTATTGGTTATGCACCATGGTACCTTCGCAATTGATCTTAGAATCTTGTTCTGTTGGCGTTGTAGTATATTTAAGTTGGTATCGCTTGCGCTGCCCCACAGTTGCAGACCATATGTCCAAATGTCTGTATATAAGTATCTACATATATTGGTCCCGTTCACACGAGAGTTGAGTTTGGGTTGAAATACATTGATAATATAACTATATAATATAAACATATATTGTTTGTCAATAGCTTCAACTCGAGGCACCTAGAATCTAAGTTTAGTTGTAGCAACAAAATATGTCATTGAGTCGTGCTTCCATAAAGGCGGAGTTCCTACTTGTTTGGAAATGCCACATTTGTGACTGATACTAATTGTCCTGATGATCAGATTCATCCGAATATATCGATATGTGTCACGCACAAGTTACGTTTTTGGTCGACAGTTGGAATTTGAGTACCGACACCCGCTTGCAATCAGAGCCTCAATTCTGCTATTTTATATTAACGCCAATCCACTATCATTCCATTGACACGCTATTGAGATGCCATTGAGAAGCCATCGACCTGGGTCAAAATATCAGTGTGCCACTAGCACAAATTCACAATGTCAATAGACTGTCGATATAGTAATATAGGTCATCAATGGTGATATCACTAGCATAATAAATCTATCATATTCTTACAAATTTAAAATGTACCGTTTACCAAACTCACAAAGACATTTGTATCAGTGGCAGTTCAGTGACAAGGCATCATTGTCAAGGCCATTGGTCTCACATAGTTAGTAGAATACGAAAAGTGCATAACTATGCCAACGACATTCCATCGACAGTCTATTGATACAATATTAGACCAGTGGAATTGAGGCCCAGGAAACTGCACCGTACACACTTGAGAGTTGTTCAGCTTCGGTGACGTTTGGGCTAGTTCTTTCTGTTGTGATCAGAGTAGATCAGTCGTTTTTTTGAGTGAGTCTAATCCTTCCCATACGCCCACAATTGTAACTCCTGTAAACTAGAATCAATAGCAGGGATCCTCGAACACAGAGTTATGACACTGTGGAAGTACTAGGAAAAATTAAACTCTCTTGGAATTGAAATGGAACCGCAACGAAATTAATCAGAAGAAAATTGGAGGAGTTCATAGACCTTTCGTTGCTGTCTATACCATGCTCCACTTGGTAACATTTCTGGCTTGCGTCAGGTGAAACGTTGAATACATATCTTCGTGGCAGCGAAGGTCCGAAATAAGTTGCATTATGGCACACTGGTTGTAGGCGAGTCAATTCCGACTTTCTGTCTCTTCGTTATTCCCACAATCCGAAAACCGAAGCCAAGGGTCTAAAATTAACTACTATCTTTTTAATTTACTTCTCGTTAAGTTATCACACGTTTCAGTTCAGTTTATCTTGTTCCGCAACTCCAAGTGCTACGCTGCTACTACGTGTTTACGCTCATGCGTACATGTACGTGACTCGCAAAACCGAATTTGGTTTTGAATACACGGTCAGATGAGGCACAGTGAAGCTCACCACGCGTATTGTAAGTGTAGTTATAGGGGAGGACTTAGGACGAGTTTGCTGAAGCTGGCGTTTGGCGTCAAGGTCTTCAAGACGACTTCGTGAACAATTTTGAATGCCCTGATGGACAGCTTGCTGCCACTCCGTTCTGTTGCCAGTTCCTCCCACAACTTTGGGGGCAAGGTAATGGTGGTTAAATGGCGGTTCAGCACATCCTTGTATCGCAGATATTGTCCTCCAGACCGGCGTTTACCTGAGCTGATCTCCGATTAAAAAACATCTTTTGGCAATCTGGAAGACCCCATATAATAGCAAATGTTGTATGTAAAAAGTACATTCAAATTTTATTCTAAAATAATGTTTTTTGTGTAAAGTACATTGATTTTAATACTCCTCGTGGCAGTTGGATAGGTTTCGAGATTTGATCCTGTAGACGGACTGACATGGTAGCGTTGTACAAACACTTCAACACTTCCATGTATCGATAGTCGATTTGGCACCGCTGGAGAGACTGTGCACACAGCCCAGGTTTCTCTTCTTTCTCTTAGTCCACAAACGCCAAGCATATTGGTAGGATATAATCTTCTTCGGACTTGCGTATAACCGCACCGTATGTATGTAGTCTGTGGCACTAAATCGTTTTCGGAAACCGTCTTTTTCGGGAGACGATTTGTAATGACTCTCGAGATCAGCTTATAGACATGACTCAGAAGAGAGATGGGTCTATAATTTTTCAACAGGATTTTATCGTCCTTTTTGAAGAAAAGCACTACCACACCTCTAAACCATGCACAAGGAGGCTTCCTGTGGAGTATGACGAAATTGAATATTTTCTGAAGGAAGTTTAAGACTGGTTTTTCACCTGCCTTCAGTTGTCAGTGTCTTGTTGTTCTTGAGCTGTTTCAAAGCCATACTAATCTTCTACAGACTGACGTCCGGTATATCTTCGGTATAGTCCCGGATTAACTTAGCCCTTGGATCTTTTAGCAAGTCAGTAATAGAGACCAGTTGTGACGTGTATAACTGTTCATAGAACTTCTCAACCTCACTCAAAATCTCAGGTATCGACGTTAAAAAGTCGGTGCTCCTA